ATGAAATAGAGAATGGACAGTAAGATGAGATTTTTAAATAAGAAAGAAGAGGACTGAGTATCATTGTAATTTCATGAGAAATAGCTAGACTATCAAAAATGGTGGTTATTTTTTAATATACATAAATTTCTAACTTCTTCCTATGAAGGAAGGCAAGGCTACAGAGACTTTACTGACAAGATGATGGAATGAAGTCTGATATCAGGATTTTCTCACCTAGAAACAAAAAAGTATAGGATAAGTACAGAAGATATATAAATACAAACACTGCCACCAAAGAATGGAAGGGAAATCATAATTTTAAACTGTTAGGACATCAATTAGAGAGAGTCATAATTAATTTTATGTGTCAATTTGCCTAGGTCACAGGACACAGATATTTGGCCAAACACTATTCTAGGTGAGAAATAGATATGTTTTTAAGAATATTAACATTTAAATCAGTAGACTTTGAGTAAAGCAGATTATCCTCCTTACTGTGGGCGGGCTTCATACAATCAGCTGAAGGCATTTATAGAAAAAGATTGACCTCCCTGGAAGAAAAGGGAATGCAGCCAGCAGACCACCTTTGGACTCAACTGCCCTAAATTGCCAATCTTCCCAGGTACCCAGTTTGCCAGCCTACCCTGCTGATTTTGGACTTACCAGGCTTCTACGACTACCTGAGTCAATCCCATAAAATCAATCTCTCTACCTTATACACCTCCTAAATTTCCCCATCCTCCCCTTTAGGGGAGAAAAGAAGAATGCAAAGGACAAAGTCTGTTAAAATTTAACTGAGGGCACTGGGCAACTCCAGGTTTGGAAGTGGCAAATCCAAAAATGGAGTGTGTAGCTTGAGGAAGCATCGAGAAACTTTCAGGCCCATCCTCCCTTCTATTAATATTTCAATATTTCAGACACATTTCCTAACACCTCAGTGAAAAAATGGTCTGATTACGGAAACACCTCAATGAAAAAATGGTCTAATTACAGAAATTTTTCTCAAATTATACCAAAATTGATACATTTGAATAAATAAACCTCATTGTCACTCAGGATAAAAGGCTATTATTTTTACACATTTCTCAACTTCTATTAAGCTTCTCACTTTTGCTACTTAGGCAGTATTTTTACTATTGAATGAAAGAGATCTCAAAGTTGTTATTTAAAGTGGCAATGATAATATTCTTCTATTGGTTAATATTTGAAGTCTGATATTAGAAATGATCCTGTGAAACTAAGATTGTCCTGTTCAGAGTTTAATGCACTATTAATATGAAATTATTCTGATTACCACAGAGTTCCCTGTCCAGACTGGCAGCTCTGCCTGTGCCCTGGTGTTCCATAGTTTGGGTGGAGGGGGTGATACTAGGGAGGGTAGACTGGTCTGCACGGTAGGCTGTAGACAGAATACATCTTTCTCTGTCCCCCAGATGGCCAATCATTAGAAGCCCATGCCCTGCCTGAAGCAGGAGACTTGCTGTCTTTATAATAGACCGAGTGTAAAGAAACAGGCATAGGCCTGGTGCCATGGCTCAAGCCTGCAATCCCAGCAATCTGGGAGGCAAAAGTGAGAGGATTGCCTGAGCCCACGGGTTCGAGAACAGCCTGGGCAACTTGGCAAGACCTCATCTCTACAATAAATCAAAAAATTAGCCGGGTGTGGTGGCGTGTCTGTAGGAGGCTGAAGCAGAAGGATCGCAGGAACCCAGCAGGTCGACGCAGCGGGTAGCCATGAGCATGCCACTGCACTCCAGCCTGGACGACAGAGTGAGATTCCAACTCAAAAAACAAAAACAAAAACAAAATAATTAGTTCTTGCCAAGAAATACCCTTTTGCAGTATAAAAAGAAATTCCCAGAAAGCGGTAGGGATCCTGCATGGATCAGAAAGCAGTCCTCCAGGCTTGGTGGCCGCTCTTGTCACACTTAGTCACCGGAGGCAGTGTTCCCCTGAGAGGGTTTTCAGCAGCCCACACATTAGCTGGATCCTGCTTTCTCTTTCCTTTTACCTACAGCCACTATTAGTCATAGTCAATGGAAATTCAGGAAAGCTTCTCTTACAGATGTTTCTGCAAAACCCAGAAATTGTATTTAATATCTGATTCTACTTGTGGACTTCTGCTCTTCAGGGAAACCACAAAGCTGAAGCCACAACAGGATAGAAAGCAGCTCTGTGTGAAGGGGCAGAAAGTGAAGGAGTGAATGACCAGGGTCCCGTGGTGGGGAATTCTCCCGTGAGAGAAAGGAAACCCTGGGGGCATGGGAGTGTGTCCTGTACTGTTGAGGTATGAGGAAGGGAATGTGCAGGTGCCGGAATCAACACATAAACATCTCGTGTCTTCTGCACTTGCATCTAGATAATGACTCCCTCTCCGGGGTATTTATACAAACCACCAGTACCTGACTGAGTATAAATAGGACATTTATTTGCAATGAGGTGTGACAATTTTTCAGCCTCCCTAGAAATTCTGTTTTTTCAGTGCTGCCTCCTTTGGTAGTTAATTCCTGAAAAATGGGACGCATTCCCTAAGAATTGTATGGAAACACAAATAATATTCTCATCTACAGTTTCATGAAGAAAAATGGGATAATATATACCATATTTTAGAACCTCTCTCTATGAAGGATACTATGCTAAGTGTTGTAAAATGCATGTGTTTGACTGGGAGTGATGGCTCACGCCTGTAATCCAAGCACTTTGGGAAGCCTAGGTGGGAGGAGTGCTTGGAGTTCAAGATCAGCCTGGGCAACATGGCGAGACTAGGTAATCAAAAAATTACCAGATGTGGTGGTGTGGGTCTGTAGGTCCAGCTACTCAGGAGGCTGAGTCAGAAGAATAGCCTGATCCCAGGAGGTTGAGGCTGTGGTGAGTCATGGTCGTGGCACTGCACCCCAGCCTAAGACAGAGTGAGACTCTGACCTAATGAACAAATAAATAAATAAAAATACATATATTCATTTAAGAATCACGATAACCATATTAATATTTTGAACCCTTTTTATTTACGAGAAAACTGAGACTTAGAGAGATTAAGTGTGTTTCTCAACATCACATATGCATGCAAGCAGAATGAAATTTCCATGTAAAATTTTTTTATCATTATCTACAATGATGCTTTAAGTTTTAAGTTTTGTATTCTAGATTTCCGTTATAAATCTTCTTTTACTCAAATTATAGATAATTCTATATTCTCTTCTCTCTAGGTGTCCTTGGTTCATGTTATATTTTCAGCTGATTTTGATCAATTATTTTTCTTTAAGTATTGAGAAGGAGATTCTCCAATTGAGTTTCCCACTTTTATTTTATTTTCATTTTAAAGTGAGTTTTTCTTTACTGACATTAAACCTAGTATTAATAAAATGATGACAAATTATTAATGCAAATAATTTTATATATTATGATTTTTGAAATACATAAAATATTAGATATATTAATACAATTTGCCAATACATGAAATTTGCAAAATCTATCCAGAGGCATATAGTCTTTTCAAAAAGGAAAAACTATGCAGCTAAAAAATAATCCACATTCTTTTTCAGGTATGAGATTATTTCTCCCCTCCATTTTAATGGCAAACTTCTCACAATTATTTTCTGTAGATTTTGTAACTGATTTGCCTTCTCTGATGAACTCTTCCGCCTACTCCAATGTGGTTTCTCCTGATTAATTATTGCTACTAATCTTGCAATCACTAAGCTCTCCAATGCCATCTATTTTCCTGAGGTAGTGGACAGCAATCAACATTTTCCATAGTCTATCGATTCTTCTTCTAAGCACATTTATTTTCTTAAATACTCTTGTTTCAGCATTCTCTTTTGTCCTTCTAATATAAGTTATTCCACCTGTTTCCTTTGTGGCCCTTTTCTTCTCTCCTTTAAATCGTTTTCTCCCTCTGCATTCTCTTGTTACATGAGCATCCTCGTTGAGGACTTTCAACTACCACCTACAAATCTCCAGGCAGACTCATGTATCTAACTGGCAATAGACATTTGCACTTACACATTTAAAAGTCAGTTTAAGCCGGACTCAGTGGCTCAGCCTGTAATCCCGTGCCTTTGGGAGGCTGAGGTGAGTGGATTGCCTGAGCCCACGGGTTCGAGACCCGCCTGGGCAGGTGAGACCTCATCTCTACAATAAATCAAAAAATCAGCTGGGCATGGTAGCGCATGCCTATAATTCTGGCTACTTGGAAGGCTGAGGCAGAAGGATCGCCGGAGCCCGGCAGGTCGAGGCGATCCAGTCTGGGTGACGGAGTGAGACTCCAACTCAAAAATAAAATAAAATAAAATAAAAGTCAGTTTATGGAGGCTATCTCTGCTTTTATTTTTATATCATAATGTGCTTTGGTCTACTTTCTGCTGAAAGGAATTCATTGATTTTTCTGTCTTCTCATTAGGACATTTAACAAAACTGACATTAAGTATGGTTATTGTTTTTAGGGATTCTTCCCCTACAAAAATCAAATATACAAGAGAGCAAGAACTGTATTTGTTATTTTCACTGCTATATCCTGGAGGTAACTTACAACCTGGTTTGGAGAAAGTCTATTTTTCTTATATGTTTTTATAATAATGGTGGGTAAATAAATTGTACCATTTATTCTTTAATCAGATTGCACAATCAGGCTTGGAGTTTCATTTTAAAGAATAAACAAATACAATAAATATTTTAGAGTAAAATTTAATGAACAAAGCAAAATAATAAATGGTCTAAACATAAAGAACATATTATATTAACAACAATGCAAAAGTACACATGATATTGTATGAAAAAATATTTTAAGCATAAATATTTGAGTAAATAAATATTAAATAGTTCCCCCTCATGACAATTTGTAAGGGACTAGTGTCTGCTGAGTTAAAGATGATGCTGTTTAACACTTTGAAAATATTTGGAAAAGTGTAATTCAAGTCATGTTGTGACTACAGAAATGAGAACCTTTGAAATGGCGGAATTTATGAGAGTGTGGGTTGATATATTAGTCAGTGAGAATCATTTCTATGTTGGACCAGGTCTCACTTCCTTCTCCTTAATCTTTCTTGCAAGTTTGTCGATGAAGAAAAGGATCTCATAATTTCTGCTCTGACAACTTCCCAGGCACAAGGGCTGTAGTTCTTCTCTTTTAGGTAGAGAGTGATTCTTTGGAAGTATTTCCTCACAACCAGGAAGGAGTCCTCATTCACTGGGGGCGTCTCTTCTTTCATCTCCTGCATCACACAGGTTTCAAGGTCATTCAGCTGCTGATAAAGTTCAGTGCAGAGTCTGTCGAGGAGGGTCTCATTCCAAGTAGCAGATGAATTTGTTGTGCTGAAGAGGTTGAAGGTCTGCTGGATCATCTCATGGAGGACAGAGATGGCTTGAGCCTTCTGGAACTGGTTGCCCTCAAACCCCTCCCCGGGGAATCCAAAGTCATATCTGTCGTTCAGGCAGGAGAAAGGAGAGATTGTCCTCATTTGTGCCAGGAGCCTCAAGACTCTCCTGTGACCCAGTTTGTGGGTCTGAGTCAGATCACAGCCCAGAGAGCAGATGGACTGGCAGCTGAGCACCACCAGGGCCATCAGCAAAGAAAAGGGCAAGAACATTGTGGATGTTGCAGATGCTGCTGGGCTGGTTGAGATGGGTAGCTCTGAGCCTTGAGCTGTAAGTTCTCTGAAGACCTTGCTTTGGGCATAGGTCTTAAATAGGGAACAGGCAAGTTTCCATTTTCTGAATGCCCCTGGGTTACTTTCTACTTCTGTTTTTGCTTTTCTTTATGGACTCACTTAATGGGTTTAGAGCAGTGTTTCTCAACTTTTTTTTTTTTTTTTGTCTTGCCCTTTTCTCATTCTCAAAGCCTTTTTAGAGTTTTTTCTTTAATTGAAACCTTATATGAGTTTAATAATACATATATACTTTATATCTTTCTATATATGTAATGTATGAATATCTCTACTTTATATATAAAAAGCCTAAAGTTTAATCTTTTCATTCAATGGAGATTTAGCATAAAAGCCAAAAGTTAAATTTAAAGTCTATTGACATTTAACTTAACACTATAACTAAATTCTTAGTGACTTTAATGTAATTTATTTACTTTTATAAATTGTAATGTGACAGATTACATAAAAACATTAACAAATTATAAAAATACATAATACCTAATGCAGTAAAATACTTAGAAATTACTCAAAACTGCTAAAAACTATTAAAAATTTAAATTATTTTCTTAATTTATTTTTAGTATAATTATCTTTTAAGTTTGCTTCATATGACAATGATTTTAATGTTAACTTGGGAGCAACAGCATACCCAATGAGAATACACAATTGAGAAAACATCATCAATTGGTTTTAAAACTTTTTGTTCACTAAAGTTCAAATTTCCAAAGAAGTTTCAAAGGTTTTCAATCCTAGCTGATACTTATCAAACTAAAGGAGACCATCTTTTTCCTAGATGTCCATAATGAGATGTAAACATGACAAAGTAAATGGGATATATAATTGTTCTACTTAACATGCGGTACCCCAGATTTTTTTCTGATTTTTCACTTTCTTGGAAGGCAAAAGTTGCTACTTTTAGTATTTGAATTATTTGGGACAAAAAAAGCACATATCTAAATGTAATAAAATTTTTTAAAGGAAGCTAGGAAAAAACAATAACTTAAGTGCAATTTAGTTGCATTCAACCCATCCAAGATGGAGATTAAGGGGTGAAGAAGAGCAGAAGCAAAAGGGAGGAAGGGATGTAGGCCAATGGTCGCAAGCATGCAGGACTGGAATAAAAGTGAGCATTTCTTGGCTAGGAGTAGTTTTCAGCTTTGCTGAATCAAACTTTCACAGAGAGCCAACAGAGATACACAATCACAAGAGTTAATACACAAGAAAGGCAACTTTTGAAAATACACTATTTTCCCTGGATAATGGGTAAATGTTAATTGTACCAACTTCTCCCCTAGTGGATAAATAAACTCAACAGATGAATATTTTATTGTCATGTCTCTAAAAAGAAGCAGGGGAATATATAATTTCAAAGAACACTTCCCCCAACATAAAAGAGTTAAATAATAAAGATAATGTTGACAAAGGAAATAGCCAAATTGTAGAAAGTGTTTATTTTCAATCATTGTTCTTAGCACTTGCAAAATCAAGGATCACTTTACCAATAAGGATTACACATTTTTCATATGTACTAAACACTTACTATGTGTGTAACCCATTTATTTACTGGCTATATCATTGGCCAAGTCATTGATGGTGATAGTTTCTACCATTATCCCCATTTTCAAAAGAAAAAATGGAAGCACAGGGAGCTGTTGAATTGTGGAGCTACTGTTGATACCCAGACAATTCAAATCCTCAGCTCTTCCATGTTCTCTGGTAATATTGCTAGCCATAAGTACCAGAACAGACTTCTAGACTGATCAATATTTTCCCAGTAGAGTTCAACCTAAGAAATGACAGTGTCTTCATCTTCTGTTTTCATTCTTCTACCTCACTGAAAAAGTCTCATTTGTTTATGCCAGACATGTTACATTTATGAATAAACTGAGCCCTAGTTTACTTAAATATTATATTCTAGTTTTGTGTTCATAAGCATGTATTTTTAAAATTTTGAATGTATTGTAAAATATTTTGTTCACTTAGTGAATATATTCATATACAACTCTTTGAAACTCTATATATTTCAGTTCACTTATTCAACTATCCATGATGCTTTAGATTTCTACCTGTAAGCACAGATTTAAGTAAGACTGATTTATAATCAGGGTAGTGGCATTAACTAAACTAAACTAATGAGTTAAGGCTTAGCTCAGAGACAGCCTATCTGGAAGGACCCACTAAAGGAACTAAAAGTGTGGAAATGAAAACATTCTGGAGAAGCAAGGGGGGGTCTAGCACATAAGAGAAGGAGCATTGAAATGGCAAAAGACTTTGAGTCACCTGACTCACCAGGTGGTTGATGCCTTTTATGCTGTAGGTCAGCAGAGGTTGCGGTGGATTGGTAGTACTTAGTTTGAGGAAATGTTGTTGCACCCTGACCAGATTCTTATGCCTACTGCCCAGAAAAACCAGAAGTGATACAGTCATTACAATGGAGAAAGAGTTTAATATTGCAAAGCAGCCAAGTGAGGAGGATGGAAGAAATTATTTAAATCCGTCTCCTCCCAAATTCAGATGATAGGGTTTTTAAAATGAACTTGGTGGGCAGAGTGACATAGGTGCTGCTGATTGGTTGATGATGACTTGGGGGTTATCAAAACTGTCTTCTTGTCACAGAACCAGTTTTTGGGAGAGGGCATCCCAGAACTAGTAGAGTCAGTTTCTTGGTGTTCTAGGTTTGGGTGGAACATCATGTCCATTTGACTATGAAAAATATCTCAAAACACCATTAGGTTTTACAGTAGATGCTATCTACTGTAATGATGTAGATGCATGTCCTATGACTACCAGGTACTACCCCTTGGACTGTGAGCCATTCTGGAGATAGTTTAGGAGGAAAAAGTATGGGGGGAGGTGGGATCCCTGGAAATTGAAACTGCTTTTGTCCTTCAGCAGCCTGAAGTCCATTGGTTAAGAGAGAATATGTTGATCAGACTCACGGGGCAACTTCCCCTTACCCAGAGAAAAAGACAAGAAGGTAATTAATATTGGAGTGAAAGAAAACTTAGAAACAATATACTTGTTGACTTCTAACCATAGCTGTAGCTTTTCAGGGCTCTGGTATCTTCTCAACTTTTACCCTTTGGTCCAATATTAATTTTACACAGGTGGTCTTAGAACCAGTAAAGAAAAACTTATGCTGACATCTAATACGACATTATGGAAGATTTTCTTTAGGACTATTGCAACAGGTTTCAAATTTATCACAATAGGGGAAAGAGATCAATCAGGGCTTAACTCTGAAAATAACAAAAACATCTTGAGATTTGGACCCAACAAGTAGAATGAGGGAGCCAGTGCATGGAAAATCACTAGGAAATATTTGCTAAATCAGATGAACAGAATTCTAACTAATGGTAGGCCAGAATGATTAGATATCCAGGGTGATCAAATATCAAAGGTAGGGGGAATTCTCATAAAACAGACTTAGCAGGATTCTTGCTACAACTGAACTAGACAGATCAAAGACTGTGTCCAAAGGCATCACCTAGTTCAAAAAAGAGGTCATCCTCATCGAAGTTTGGTCAAGGAGAGAGTCTCTGTCAGAACCTTAAAGGCTAAGGAATAAGAGATAGGAATATGTTCTGGACAGTTACATGAGAGATAAAATTGTATGCCTTTTGAAAAAATTGGAATTTAAAAGATAACTTAAATCAATAAAATATATTTTTAAAATATTTAATCAGCAACGTTCAGCATTTTGGAACCCTATTTATTTGAAATTCTTTTTTCAGAAACAGTTTTAGACTTACGGAGAGTTGCAGGATAGTGACCCACAACACCGTAGCACAGTTATAAAATCTAAGCAATTAAGGTTAGTGTACTATTATTATCTAAACTTCAGATTTTCTCAGTTTTTTCACTGATGTCCTTTTTCTGTTTCAAGAATCAATCCAGGATTCTATATTACATTTCATTGTTATGTGACTTTCTCGATCTTGAGATTTTGAAGAATATTGTTCAGCTATTTTATAGATTTGGATATGTGTGATATTTTCTCATGCTTAGATTGAACTTACAGATTCATATGGGGAACATAAATAGAGTTGATCCTTATGACATCACGTGATATAGGAGACATATGATATCAATGTGATGTAAATATCACTCACTTGGTTATGTTGGTGTCTACTGGGTGTCTCCAACATAAAGTTACTATTTTTTCCTTTCCATACTTTCTGCATTAGAAACATGTCACTAATCTCAGCCCACATGCAAAAGGAGGTAAATTAAACTTCACCCATGGAGAAAGGAGTAACAAAAACTTTGTTGACAAATACTAAAGCATCATAGTAATTAAAAAATCTGCTGGAGAAAAATACTTTGAAGTTACTCAGTTGTCCTCATTATCCTCACGCCCTTCACAGTGGATTTTGCCTATTGTAATTATTTTTATGGTGTTCTAATAATGATATTCTACTCTTATCACTTCTCGGCTTTTTGGCTAAGATTCTACTCTCCCCATTCATTTTATATTTATACTTGAAATTCTTCTGATAGAAAGAGTTGGCCCTTCTCCTCAATTTATTTCTTTATCCAACTCACTTACTTATATAATTATGAATGCCTACTCACTTATATCGTTATGAATGCATAGATAATTATTCTATTATTTGGGATACAATTAAATACTATGGTTTTATTGCATTGCTCTAATTGTCCAAATGTTGGCTATTGGAAGTTCTTTCAGGTTGGCTCCTGTGTTCTTTTGACATGCACCTACGCTTTTTGATTTTGAGCACTTCCCTAGCTCTGGCATCACGAGAGATTCCAGGCTATCCTTGTACTTCCATGCTACAGACCTAGAATTAGTCATTTCTCCATGAAGTCCTAATTTTTATTCGAGATTGGCTTGTAGAAGTCAAGGTCTGAGAGTGAGATGTGCTTAGCACTACCAGGATGTCATTGCTTCTAGGTCCTCTCAGTGATAAAATAATAAGTAT